AATCATTGAGCATGATTGGCAGTACACTCACTAGCCAAGCTCATTTCCCATGGGCCATTGTGGTGAAAGGGATTTCTACTGGCTCTTGGGGTTGGATACCCTCATGTTGGTGACTGAGCGCTTGGCTTTCCGACAGTCATCTCAACCAAGCCATGACTTAGAGTGGCCTCCTTTTCCCTCTAAGGATGCTTGCCTAAGACTGGCTTGGTTATAAGGTTTTTCACTGGATGTCTTAAAACCAGGAAAATGCTCCTTTGGAAATGCAGTAAGTGTCTGCGTGCTCTATTGATCTTCCTTATTTTCTTGCTTCTCCGGTTACCAGACTGTGGGTGGCAACGGAGCAGCAAAAACGTTTTATAGGGGATGGAAGGCAACATTTTAAACCAAGAAATTGGAAGTGGGATGGGAAACAAGAGGCTGCGGATAGGGAGGACGTGGTGGAAGGTCATTTCTGTATATTAAGCACCCGTGGTGGAAATGCTAAGAAAATAAAGTGTGCTTTTGTGACTGGGCAAGTGGTACTGAGAAGAGTTGACAAACACCTTTGGTCTTAGGCTACATGGGCAGGGGTTCTTGGCCATAGAAAGTCATACATTTATGAGTATGTGTCCATGTTCCTCCTGAATTAGAACTTGGCCTTTGAGCCATGTGAACTTGCTGCTTGGTTTTGTGTCCCTGACAGAGATGCTGAGGACCCAGGAGGTAACAGGGTAAGCTAGCAGCCAGGATACTACAGATAGGAACACCCCTGTGGACAGGTAGGTCCTGCACTGTTAAATCAGAGGGCTGCTTATAGTAAAAACATCCTAGTCTTTCAAGATATGTTTTCGGGGGTTCAGAGGAGCCCTGATGGTGCAGTGCTTACACATTGGGCTACTAACCAGAAGGTCAACAGTTTGAAATCACCAGTCCACTCTGTGAGCAGAGAAAGATGGGACTTTCTACTCCCATAGCCATCTACAGTCTCAGAAACTCACTGGGGCAGTTCTGCCCTGTCCTGTAGGGTCACTGAGTTGGCATCAGTTTGGGTTGGGGGTTCAGGGGCTCTAAGTGAGGTATAATTGGCATGGTGTGAGGGCATTTTCTGTGTATGTGTTTGGAGAAGGCCCAGTTGGACGTATCGATGAGTGTAAATGGAAACAGCGCACCCTTGGGGACATGCTTTGAGGCTGCTTTGAGTGCATGTGTTTGGAGAGGGTGCAGGTCAGTGGAAATGAGATTGGCTGATGTTTGCTTCTCTTCTGTTCCAGCACATCAGGTCCACCCATCTGGCCAGGCAGCACATTCTTCAAGAGAAACGGAGCCCTTCTGCAAGGTAGGTCTCCAGAGCGCCTCCCCACCCCACCCGTTTGATTGCTCCTCTGTGCCTGGTCTTCCTCAGGTTGTGGCTGTGCTACTCAGCTCTGGGCACCCTTCGGGGAAGTGAGTGCCACAGGTTGGGTCTCGTCGTCCTTGTCGGATCTCCTAGTAGCTGTGGATCATGAGTCCAAAGCCGGCCTTCTAAGGACTTCCGCCTTTGCTCTGTTGTTACTGGCGCCTATTCCAGCAGTCCTTGCCGGTTGGATGAAAGGTGGCTCTCTTGGCAGTCAGGAGGCAACAGTAGCATAAATGGGTCTGTACCAGCAGACACCTGGACATGTTTCTGATGCATCGGGCCCACAAGGCAGGTGTTGGGGGCCTGGCACTCTTTCTGTTGTAGAGGTGCAGTGCCTCCTTGCCTGTCTTGCACATCCACGTGTGCCTGGAAGGTGGAGGGTGGTCTCTTCTGCATCCGTTGCCCGGCCCACCATCCACAGCTGCCTGTGCCATTTCCTTCCCATAGTGTCCAGGGAATACAAACTGCCTCTCATCTCTCCAGTTAAAATCTTGGCACAAAGTCAGAGAAGAACAGGCTGTTAAAAATAGCAATCAGTTGCATTCTAAATACTTTCAGGGGGGAAAAATGTGTGTGTGGCGTGGAGATGTTTTGCTGTTTGAGATATTTGCCGCGTGGAGAAAGCTGGAATCGGTGGGGCCCCCAGGTTCTCATCTTCTTAGCCCGTTCAGCCTCTGTTCATTGCCTAGGGGCTAGCGAGTCTGATTGACCAAAAGCTGTTGACCTGTGCTGGGTTAGGGGGGACGGTTTTCGTGGATTTGGGTGGGTTGGTTGATGTTAAGCCTCTTTTCCTTAAAAGTGCAAACTGGGGACTGGCCACAGCTGTGAGGGATAGAAATCAGTTTCAGAAAATGGGTGTTTGTCCCAGGCTTCAAGAGAAGCCAAAACTGTCATAAAAGAAAACATCGTCACACAGTTGACACTGCTGGTGTTTTATATGCCATGGCATTAGATTGTGCTCCTAATGAGCCTCAGTGAAATAATAATCCGGGGCACTTAGGAGTCTGTTTGACTCCAGGTGAGATTTACGCTGTTGGATTAAGTGGATTGATCCTCGTTTTAATAAGCACAGACGCTATCGTGAGTGTTTAAGAAAAGGGATTCCCGCCACTCTCAAAAATGAACACGTGATTTATATTTTTATGTATCTATAATTTCCCTTCTTCCCTTCAGATCGTCTAAGTAGCATGAGGCTCTGGCTTTTGGAAGTGAATCGCAAAGTCATGGCCATCTTTATATCCTCTCCGGACACTAGCAGTGACGTGCCCCTTACTCTGTCTGGAATCATTTCAGAAACGGGATTTTGTTTCTCTTAGAGCCTTTTCTTACAAGGAAGGTGGGTGGGGAACCCTTTGTTTATTAAGTTCCACATTCAGTGATGTGGCTCGAAGTACCTTAGTTGTGCTTGCTTGTGGGTTTCTGCAGGGCAAGCGCCGGAGGGAGACATCAGTCAGGTGTCTGGAGCTGAGTGCCTACATGGGGCGAAGGAGTTCTCTTTCTTTGGGGGCTTAACATCCCCCCAATGATTCTAATTGTTGAGAATTAAACTGTCACCAGTTTCAGATGGTCCCTAAACCCGCATCCAGTTAAACACAGCCCATTTGTTTTGCGCGCATCTGACAATGGGAAGGATTTTGGTGAGAGTTGGGGGGGGGGGGGTGCTGCCCCAACTCTGGAAGATGAATTCTCCTTGGTGAGGTTTCTTCGTTTGCTGTATCTGCTTACGTAGTCCTTGAAGGAAGCTGAGCGGACGAGCACAAACACACACTGGACTCTTGAATGGCTGCAGTCCCCACACTGTGACGGTTCACATTATAGACCAGAGGGCTTGTCCTTGAATTTGCCCTCACGTTGAACCAGCCCCTTGAGCAACACCTCGGTCCTAACAGTCACCTTCACTTCAAATACTTGAAAAGGCTTTGAGCCTTTTATTTTTACGCTAAAGCCCAGGTCCCCAAACATAGCTGATCACAGGAATCACCTGGGGATCTGGTGAAAGTACCAAGCCCTGAGCTCCGTTTGCCACCTAATGAATCACAGTCTTTCGGGGAGGGGCCCAGGGTGCTGTCTTTTCACGAGATCTCTGGGTGATCCCACTGACCTGCTAGTTGGGGGACTAGGCCTTAAGTGTGGCTACAGAAGAACTGCCGGATAGGCCTGTCCTGACTTGACTTACCTACAGATTTGGCTTCTAGAGTAGTGGTGGTGGGTAATCAAGCAAGTTTTATGCCCCCAAACAAGAGTGTAGCAAGGAACGATGACATTGTTGTCAGGGGCCGTTGACTGGGTAGATGCACCCAACGCAGTGCCTCGTGGCTGCTGCTCCCATGAGCGTTGATTGTGGATCCAAGCAATATGAGATCCTTGATAACTCCGATCCTTCCCACGTTGTCATCACGTTACCCACCAGCCCAGTTTTGAGGATTTGGGTTTTCTTTACATTGAGTTGTAATCCATGCAGATAAAGATACGGGTATATAAAGCAGGCCGCACCCTGGATGAAGACAAGGAACGTTTCAGGGCTCAAGTAAAGAGGAGATACACCTGCTGAGCTCCTGCTTGCTGCTTACCTGTATAGCTTGCAACTTCCGAGTCTGCATGGTTCTCTTTCCCCCTCTCTGTAGACAGGAGAGGAACTATTCTGGGTAATCAAGAAGAGGGGAGAACTCTGTTCATAGGTTCTGCCCACAGGGATGGAAGCCCTGTGAGTCTGGAGGGTAAAACGACAAGGTTGGTGGTTCAGATCCACCAGCTGTGCCTCTGGGAAAAGATGGGAGACAGTGCTTCCTACAGCCCCCAGGACAGTGTCACTTGCTCAGAGACCCACCGCAGGAAATGCAGCGTGATGTCGGAGGACAAGGTGCTGGCCATCAGGACCTGCAATAAGTTGGGGCCAATGGCAGAGGCGGCCCTTGTTCTCGACCGGCGGTTGGTTTCCAAGCTGTTGACCAGATGCCTTCTCGCAGGTTTCTATTTCCCAGTTCCCAACTGCAACAATGTGCTGGAGGAACTCCAAGTCCTCCTGGGCCCGAGAGGAGAGCGGGCCTCTGTGTTTCAGGTCTCAGAACTCTCTGCTGGCAGGGAGGGGTGCTGAATGGCCTCTCGAATTTGAGGATAATGGAAGGCAATTTGGTCATTTTGCAGTATCTATTTTAAATGCCACTCAGGCGGCTAGAGACAAGTGGTGTAGGTGAGTAGTGGCCGTGGACTAGAGGTCACTTCAGCTCTTGGACAAAAAATGCAAACCTAGCAGAGAGCCAGAGGAGACAGTGTTTATAGCGGGGCCCAGGACGGGCCCAGACAAACGGGAGCTTATTCCCCACCTTCCCAGCAGGTGTCTGCGGCGCTCTGAGTTACAGTCTCTCTGGGTCTGAAATATGTTTCTTATTAATCTAGCAGTTTGGTTTTGGAGCCCGGGGGGAGGAGGGGGTGGCGCATAGTGGTTACATGTTTTTCTGCTAACTGTAAGGTCAGCAGTTCTACACCACCAGGCACTCCGAGCTCGGGAGAAAGAAAGTTACAGAAACATCTGGGTTTCCTGAAATGATCCGTGGGGCTCTGAAACTTGGATCAATAAACGTTGTAGTTCATGAACTCTGTTCCATAGGAGTCTTTTTAAAATTAGGATTAGAATCTCTCCCAAATCAAGAATAAGTAAGAAGCTTTAAAATCATTTTCTCCTTTTTAAATTAGTCTAGCTTTTGCACCGGCTCAGTTCTTAGAGGGTCACTCTGCATCTGAATCCACTTGATGGCCTTGAGTTGGTGAAGTTTGTATTTGATGGCTCAGTGTTGGGTTAAGTGTAGGGCTGTGAGGGTCAGAGGTTTGAGCCCAGCAGTCACTCAGAGGGAGAAAGATGAGGCTGTCTGTTACCATGGGGATAGATGTTCAGTCTCAGAAACCCTGTGGGTAGTTCTACACCCTGATAGGGTCCCTCTGATACAGGATGGTGTTGAAGGCCATGGCCTGGGTTGGGTTTAATAATGGCTTTGTTGTTCTTACTTGAGAAACATCCTGACTCCCGACCCACCCTCCTTCATTCCACTTGCCTGTCAAACTAACCAGGATAGTTCTTGGAAACCCTGGCTGAGTTACTTTCATGAGTCGGGGATTCACGGTGAAGGTACTCCGTACCCCTGACCTGACCCTGCCTTGGGTTTCTTCTTGGGGGCCTGTGAGCCTCTTGCCTGGCTGATACAAACCAAACCAAAGACCGTACAGCATAAATTGCTACAAACTCCAGCGGATTTTGCCCTCCATGGCCACCAGCTCACCAAGGAGGCCTCTTCAGAGAGAAGCGGCTGCCTGGACAACTTGGCGCCCCTGGCCATTTCGCCACCTAGCTCCTATTTCAGCTCTTTCTCTGAGCAGGCCCCAGCCCCACCCCCACCCCCAGCCCACCTGCAGGATTCTCACCTGTAAGTCCCAGGCAGTTGCTGTCAGGTATACCCCAACCCGTGTGTCAGAATGGAACTGGCCTCCACGGGGTAGAAGTTCAATGGTGGCTTTTCGGGGGACTCCAGCTGCCAGCCCAGTGGTCAGCAGCGGAGTCTATAACTGCACCACCCGGCAGTCCCCCTAGCGCCCCACCCTCAACCCCACCAATAAACTTTGCTTTATTACACATGTCTGGGTGTTGGCTGTTGTGTTAGAACTGGAGTTTAGTTACCCAGACAAATGAATTGTCCGCCTACAGCCAACCCTGTGGTCAGACCCCAGGCCCCGGCTTCCTCTCTCTCAAATACGCCTACTGCCAGCACCACTGATCGGCTACTGGCTACTGCAAACCTCCCCAGCGAGTGGCAGCCTGACACCCGGCCACGGCCTGCCTTCTTCCTGTCATTGTAACGGGGCCGCTAATTATTACGAAATCTGTTTCTACAGACTGCAGTGGCGGAATGAAAATGAACCCTCTACCATGCCTAACAGATTTTTATGTC